CCCCAAAACCCCAAAACCCCAAAACCCCTTTGATTAGAATTTGATCAAAAGATTAATAAGATAATTAAATTAGTGCATAATGATAAAAATATATTCTTATATAGATAGTCAGCGCTTCTTTGATAAAATTGAAGTGATAGTGTTCTATTTATTTTGGTTTTGGTTATTTTTACTTTGGGAAGTACTTTTTAAATAATTTTGACTTTTGTGAGGAGATCCCTTCTATTCCTAATTCGCTATTTAATTCTGATTAATCTGCTAACTTTATTTTTGAATTTTACTTTCTTCATTCCTTTGGTAGTAATCATGATCTTCTTTGATTGCATTTTGTTGCTATTCAGATTTTTTTTCCAAATTTGTAAACAACTTTTCAGGATCATCTTACCTCTCGTGATCCCTTCCAACAGTTGAGTCACTTTGTCTACCGTAGTCTTAATAGTTAACTGCCTATTCAATATTTCTCAAATCTGCTAATGTTAAACCCGGAATCTATTTCATTTCAGGCTAATCCTCAAACTAAAAGTACTGCTCTCTACTAAACAGTTAACGGTAAATAAAGTATATTAGGACGAAGATAGCTCCTACTATGATCAAACAAGTCAGTAAAAGTATAATATTGGAGAGCAAAAAGTAAAGCTTTTCATTTTCATTCTACTTTCTTGGAATACTAACTTATCTTAATTTAATTCCATCACTACTCTCAGTTGTCTTCTTTCGAGCTAGTTGCTCAGCTAGTTCATCTATTCTAGTTTTCTTCCCAGGTAAACTTTGTTTAGCTTTGTAATTGTCTGGACCTGATAATTTCTAAGTAGAAGTATGACTTGACTAATCTGATGCAGGTTCATTTGATTGCTAAGGCTGGGAAATAGTCTAATAGTGATTAGTAATAACAGGATTTGAAGTAGCCTGATTATTGCTTTTGGTAGTTTATTCTACTTTTTAATTTTCTGTCGTATGATGTCTTTCCTACTCATCCTCAATCTTTTAATTAGCTTTATTAAGCATATCTTAGAGATCATCATAGGTTTTGCCTTTTGATTTGCCTTCAATACTCAAAATCAAAAGACCTAAGACTATTGAGAGCTTTATTAGTAGTTAAAAATTCATTTTTATTTTCAACTTAATTTAAAAATTATTGTTAAAATTTGATTTAAGGGGGGTTTTGGGGTTTTGGGG